TCTTTACAACTCTATCGGTAATAATAAGCTAATCCGAGAATTCAAAATTTTCCATAATCATTATTAAATAAAATCACAAATAAATAAAAACAAATTCAAAAAGTCACAAAAAAAAAAACATAGTTCAACCCAATCCAAGTCAGAAATAAACTTAAATCCAGTTCAAAAAATCTGAAGTTACGTAGTGATTTTCCACAATAACAACTAAAATCTGAAACTATGTGCAATGAAAAACTCATACCTCCTTTAGGTTCAGAAAAAAAAAGAAAGAAAAAAATGCTACCTTTAGTATGCTACTACAATGTTGAAGAATAAGATTTGGGGATAAACCCTAGCACCAGATAAACCCTAGTAGAAGATAACCTGAATATTTGGGGATAATTTTTTTTTGCAGGGAGTGTATTTTTTTGGAAAATTATACGATTTTTAGAAGGGATAAAAAAAGGACTTTTTAATAAAGGAAAAGGCATACAACTTACAAAATTTTTAGAAGGGGGTATACAAACTTCAAAATTTGTTTAATTCGGAGGTAATAAATAGTAAAGTTTTTTTGAACGGTTTTTTTTTTTTCCCCAAAAAAGTCAATAAAATGTGTTTTAAACAGTGCTCAAAATATCGGTGACCCAATCTGGAATCGGGTGATCCGGATCGAGAATCGCCATGCCCATCCCGAATCTGATAAAAAAATGGAATTATGTCGATTCAGAATAGTAGACTCGCTGATTTTTTCACGGAACCGCCAATTTCGAAGTTCTTCATTGAGTTTGACTGATTCCTACTGATTCTTCACCAAGTCAAGTGAAAAAAAGGATGAACCATTTTTCTTGCATTATTTTTTAAAAAATTGAAAAAAAATTATCTATTTCGCCAATTCTTCCGATCCGATCAATCAATTCCCCTGATCTGATATGAGTATAGGTGTGACCGATTCGAGTCACCGATCCATTTTTTAAACCTTGGTTTTAAATATTTTTATAAAAATAATGTATTTTTTCCAATATTTGAAAAAAGAGAAATGATCCTATAGGACCCTCTTCCACCCATGTGTGTAGGACCCCAAATGATCATCATTAAATTTGGAACGGATCTATAGAAAAGTCAAATTCTTCATCCATGTGACAACTTTTCTAGAGATCTGTACTAACTTTAATGGTGATCCTTTGGGGTCCTACACGCATAGGTGGGAGATGGTCCTATAGGATCATTACTCTAAAATAAACCTAACAAAGAACCGCAATTGTGTTTTAATAGGCGATTTGCTAACTATGGTTACAACTCGGAGAGTTTTTAACGTAGCAAAATTCCTTTAATTCAGTGAAGTAAAATCCCATTAAATCAACAAAGTAACGTGAATGAACTTACTATATGGGTGAGTAATTGGCTGGTGCCACAAAATAAAATGAGGCCTTGAATTCCATTTTTTCTCTAACAAAGTGAAATTACGATGATAAAGTTAGTGATAATAAATCATCATCATCATACCACAGTAAAACTTAGTGATAATAAAATAATTAACAGAAATCGTCATTCCCATGTGTTCCAATATCTACTTACTTGGTGGCCTAAAGTGGCTCACGATGAGGACTCCAAGCAAGGCGACCTGGAAAAGGATCCGTGAAGAGGGCATTGGTCTAACTAGGGCTGCCATAAGCAACAAAACAGTTTGGTCCATCACTTCGATGGTTTTTGTGGTCTCTCTATGGTAGAAGGGAAATCAACTTAGATTTATAGTATTCATTTTGCTATTTTTTGGCTGGTCATTCAGGTAGAACTGCAAATGGATAAATACAAGAGTGCTAAGGATGGGCTTCCAACTGTAAATTTTTGTAAATGGATAAGCACAAGACAGCTAAATATGAGCTTCAAGGACCTATTCTCCAATTTGCCTATGAGGTTCCTCCCTTGTTTCCATCTAATAAAAAATTCATTTCTCCATAGTGAAAATACGGACCTAAAATGTGAATCAAGGAATCAACATTTATTTCGAAACTAATTTTGGGGAAAATTCAATAAGTTTATGGCTCATTTCCAGCCTAGGTTTTCTTAGAATGGTGATATAGACATGGAAAACTTTAGAACCGGTAGTTTACTGAGAGTAAAAAGACAATATCTAATGAAAAGTTGTTGAATAAAATGATATAGGATTGTTTATAAAGAGACCATTTATCTTTTGTACGAAGAGGTCATAACTATTTTCACTCATTACATGTCAAATTGGATGATTTAGGTTGAGTAATGTGAAATTCGAGCACTTTTTTTTTAAACTACATATCTAATCAATGACACTCTTACCGCCACCAATTTTGAAATTTAAGGGATAAGAATAATTGTGACTTCTTTGTACAAAAGATAAAAGGTCTATTTGTAGACAATCCCAAATGATATTGGTTGATACACTATGATTAATAGCGCCTAATACTCTTGTAGGAGACCACTCAACACTAGCTCTTTGAGGCAAAATTATCTTGGAGGAATTTTTTTGATTTTAAATTAGGAATAAGTATTAAATGACTGTTTGCTTTTGATATAATTAGATCATTATCATCCTTAGCCATCAGATGACTTAAGATGTGTCATAAAGTTCGACAAATTTTATTTTAAAATTTATACTCAATCAATGATACACGTCCAACAGTCCAGTTTCACATCCGTGATGTCCTTATTGCTATACGAGTATTTAAAGAAAGAAACAAACTACATTTTGAGTCCCTAAATATTTAGATTTGACCATTCATAAATTAAATAGTCTTTGTTGAAATCTTAGTACAATTTTCTTGGGTGTTTATAGATTGCTATGAATTTTTTACTTTTTTATTTGTACTTATTTTCTTTTGAAGTTGGTTTCTAGGTTGAGGAGGTCACATCATAAAATTTGAGATCCTAAAAGTACTTCGAGATGGGGTTATACCAGTAAATATAGTATAGGCGTGGACCAAGTAGTTATTTAGTTGTACTTAAATTAAACATAAGTGGTTATTACATGATAAATGAAAGTGTACTAAGTTTTCGGAGCCTTTTTATATGCCACTAGGTATATGAAACTCATATATGCTACCCTCTCCTAGCCATCCATATGAAGCCAGCCAATCTGAATGGACGATTGAAATAGCTTTAGTCATAATTTTATAAGCGAGCTTCTAACCATTTAATCTTGATTTGATGACTCCAAGTAAATTATTTTAATTGATTTCTAATGAAAATATTGACACAAAAAATAGAGCGTCCCTTTTGAAGGGTGGACCTAAAAAAAATAAAATAAAAATAATCATGACGAAATAAAATAGCAAAACTATCCCTAAAAGTAATAAGCAATGATCCAATACAACGGCTGTATCATAATATAATGCCACGATACTTGTAGAAACCATATGTTGTGGTATTTGTATGACCCCAAATTTTGCACACACACTACCTTCATCTTAATAATCAATTCCCCCTTCCCCCCCAAAAAAAAAGGTCAATTTGGACTCTAGATATAGTCAAAATGAGTCTCTTTAAAAAACGAATCTAGATTTTTCATTTTGTGAATTTCAAGATCTTAGCTTTTATGAACTCAAAATCATTTTTTCTTTTTTTAACATTGTTCATCTAATGATAATAAAACCATCCAAAAAAATTGAAAATGAAAAAATCCTTCTAAGACCTAAATCTAAGCATTGCACCAAAATGAACGGCCTATGTTAATTGGGCTAAAAAAATACTTTCTAGGTTTTTTTTTCATTTTTTTCTTTTTTGTGATTGTTCATTAGAATGAAAAGAGTGTATATTTCAAAACTTGGATCAAACAAATGGCCATAAGATGGGTTTTTAAGGTTGTTGCATCATATTACTATACAACGGTTGTATGAAATCATTGTCCAAAAGTAATATGTATAAAAAAACCCAAAAGAAAACTAATATTTAGGAGTGACATTGTGATTAAGACCATCTAGACTATCTGGTTGAATTAGGATCCTAATTTTGGGTTTGGAACCTAAAATTTGTTTAAATTACTAGCACAATTAGCAAGACACCCCCTTTATTTAAGATTCCAAAACCAAAACAAGAATATATTTAGCACATCAAATGAAAATTAAAATATGTACTTGATTAAAATAATCTTTTTAAACAATATTATCAAGAAACTAGTTGATTTGACCGCATAAGTGATTATTTTTCCGTTTCGGGTGTGGTGTAATAAAGCGTCAACGTTAGGCAATTCAAATAACGTGCACCTCTAAATGATGGTAAAAGACGTAATTTTGGTATAGATAACTTTATGATCATATAAACAATTATTTTTATATTTAATTATGAAATTTAAAGCTCTAAACATAGTGTGGATCGAGTACATCAATTTAAGTCTTAAATTTAAAAGGTTATGTTAGGTTGTTCACACTATAAAGCAATTTATCATTGTACTCAATAAATTTTGAACACTTATATACCTTTAATTTATACCTGAAACATTTTTAAATAAATATTTTTTTGTTCATTAGAAAGGGTGTAACGTTATCCATATGGATGTGACATCACCACCTGGAGCATACTAGCATTAATGCTCTATGTGGGTGAAGCACACTAATAGCATTTAATGCTATATGTGGGTGATGTTATAGCCCATGTGGATGATATAATGCAATTCCTAATGACAAAAAATGCCATTATTAAAAAATGATAAATATACAAGACAAGAGTATAGAAGTATCAAAATTTGTTGAGTTTAATGATAAATTACTTTACCCTACTCTAACCTATACTTAAAAGAATATAAAAATAATTTGTCCAGTTAATTCGGTATAAAATATACTACTTTTAGGACTTGAAATAAGCTGAATGCTAAAATAATATGTTTTGGTGGGTTTTTGCGGCGCATTACTTCTATGATATAGAGCATCAACTTTTTCCTTTTTAAAAAATATATTTGATATTGAAAAAATAAAAATTACCTTTATTTGATTTCCCTATATATTGAAAAAATAAAATTAACGTAACCTAGGGAGATAAGAAGAGGGAATATCGTCCTTTTTGCCTCTTTACTTTACTTAGAAATATATAGTGCTGTACAGGACACAGACCAGCTCAATATCGTTGGTGTTTTCGGATGCCCTAATGGGGACAATGGTGGGCGCCTTCGATCATGGCTCCTCCGAAATTAGTGTTATTGTTTCAGAGAACCCACCGCAGAAAAAGCAAGAAACCTTAGATGAAATGCTTTCTAGACACAGGTATGCTCAACAAAGACTTGTTCTCTCTTTTTCTGCCTTTCGCTTGTTTGTTTTACGATTTGAGTTCATTGAATCCATTTGTTATGATATTTAGGCCAAATATATCTTGAGCATGAGGGTTTTATGTGAATCATTGGCTCTCTTTTGAAGCAAAATGGTTCCTGCTATGGTTGAACTGAAAGTGTTGATAATATTAGTGTTTTATTCATCGAATTTAGCAATTAATTGTGATATTTGTTCATAGTTAGAGCATCTGAATATTACTCTCTATTGAGGCATGGAAATCAATTAGGGGTTGTTGGAATAAGATTTATTTTTCCTTCTTACATGTTGGTATTGGTCATTATTAGGTTTTTTTTTTTTTCCCACTAAACTTTAGTAATTTCTGGTATGTGGTGTCTTGAAGAAATTATCTATCATCTATAATCATCTTTAATTGTTTATATGAGCTTAATTTATCAAACATAATGTATTAAAAAACGAAAATGTTGAATGCAATGTGCTTGGTATATGGTTTTCTTAAACCTATATTTAGAAGCAGCTTGTTATGGATGGCTTAATTCTTCTGGTTAAGGCAGAAAGAAACTCATCTATGGGCTTGCTGCTTTTGGTGTCACTAATATTGGGATTTGATTTTCTGGCACTTATGAATGAAGAGCTGATTGCCTTCATCTTCCCCTAATGCTTTGTATCAACTTTAGTTTCTCTTCCTTTCAATTTATCAGGACTCAACATTTCCCCTTCGTTGCTTATAATCACCGACACAGTCTTATTAATGTCTTATTTAATAAAAACAAAATATTACCATTGTAGAATGTAATAGGATAAGAAAGTGCATATTGTAATTGTAGAAGATAGGAAATTGCCAGCGTAGAAGATAGGAAAGTGTATATTGCATTTAACAAGATAGGAAATATACAATGAAAGAACGACCACAAATAGTGTGGGGCATAATTATTTTCTGAAAGAGTTCCTTTCTCTCTAAAATTCTTTATGGTATTAGAGCATCTTGTTGGAAGCCTTGATCCATTTGTCGCATAGGAAGTGTAACACCACTTTCTTGATTTTTTTTTTTGGCACCCAACGACCCACATTACTGATTTGACTAGTTTGAACAAACCCACGTCCTCGAGAGTTGAAGAACTGTCGACCACCAAAGTTGTTATAGGAGTGAGCTCACAAAAAAGTTGGAATGGTTTCCGGTTGTTATCGGGAGAGACCAACTAGGGTGACACTCCCGCTCCGGAACTTAGCTCTGGCACTCCGTGGCTGGGATCTCAACCAGAACCCATTCCAATTTTTTTGGAGCTCGCTCCTATTTATAGGATTCTTGATCCCATTGATAATGGAGCTCGATCCCACAATCGCATGGATCACGATGCCACTTTCACACAGAACGTGTTCTTTTAAATTGTAGATCTCGTGCCCTCACTCACGTGTGTGTGTGTTAGAATATGTGTTAACACAACACCAAAAATTTGTGCTACCGATGGAGTAAATTGCTGTTTACTGCCATCAAGAGAAAGTTGAGTTGCTCTTCTAAAATGAAATATAAAAATATATTTATTGTTCATTAGCTATTAAGACAAAAAGAATAAAATTATTGAAAACATCTGGTTTATTTAGCTTTTATATAATATGATCGTGCAGGTTCACAAAAATATATGTTTTTAAAAAATTGATAGATCAATTTTGCATTTAATGCATGTAATATAAATTTTTATTATTAAAATATTATCTCCCTTATTTTTTATTTTTAAGATGTGCATTTAATGTGCAGGTTTTGAGTTTTGACATCATATGTTGTTGGTGCGTAAATTACTGGAACCTAATGTTGAATGGGAGATTTATATCCACTGACCCAATCAGACAATGATGAAGGCTTTCTTATCAAAATAAAATAATGATGAGTGTATCTACTCGAGTAGAATGATAATGGTTGTGTTTAGAATTACATGAGATCTGGTTCTGGTGATCATCATGTTACATTTGAAATGAAGATGTTGAAAACACAATTACTGAGGGTGTTTGGCCTTCGATAATGCAGGCTTGTGTATTTGATTGATATTAGAGTGAGATACTAAAATCATGGAAAAGGTGAGACAGGGAATGTTATGTGGTGGTAGAGTAAGGGATGCAGGGATTAGTAGTTGACATTTTGCTTTGGAAATGGTCTGCTGGATGAGAACTAAGATGAAGTATATTATACTATTTTGGGGGCCACAAGATTTTTATTTTTATTTTTATTTTCCTTTCCTTGATTAATTTTGGGGCCAGAGAAAAATCAACATGTAGCAAGACGCGAGCTTTACGTGGTCTGGAAGAAAGAATTTCTAATAGATCAGTATCTCTAATGAAAGCTTAATCATATTCAGAATATTTACGTAGGTGGAATATATTAGTTATAATAATTATCATAAAGTACAGTGGATGGAGTACAGTTTGGTGCTAATGTAATATCCAAAGTGATTATGTTTTTCTTTTTTAGTACCTCACTACAACTTCTCATAAGATGTTAATTGACTAAGTCTAGATGTTATCATTTTGACAATGTTGCCCCTTTTGTTTTTTAACAAAAAGGTGAGGTTCAGGTGCCCTCCCAAAACTTTTCTTTTATGGAGAACAATAAAAAGAAAAAGCTTTTCTTTTTCTGGAGTCTCAGTGCTCGATAAGACATTTAGAAAGCATGGGGAGAAACAGTGATGCCCTCTTTTCTTTTTGAGATTGTGATTTAATGCTGTCTCAATTCATGCGTGCAAGTTAATGCATGATGACAGCATTTGCCCTCTACCCTTCATTTCCAAAATCATGCTCTGCAAGACATTACAAATCGTTGATCTCTCGATCTCTCTCTCTCTTGTTCAGGAAAGAGATCGCTGAGCTTCAGAACAAGGAGACTAGTTTGAGGAAGGCAGCTGCTAAAGGAAGCAAGGCTGATCAAAAGGCCAAGAAGAAGCAAGTGGAAGAGGAAATCTCAGTGCTCTCTTCTAAACTAAAAGAAAGACAAGCTAGCGAGCTTGCCTCTATGGGCTATCTAAGCAACAACAAGGAGGCCGGAAACCTAGACAACTTGGTCATGGCCATAGCTGGGGTCTCAGTGAGCAACAATGACTCCAACTATGCTCAACCCAGCAAGGGTGCAAAGAGGCGAAGCAGAAGGGCACAACAAGAAGCAGAGAGAGAACAAAGAATACAAGAAGAACAGAGCACCATAATCAGCGATAGAGTGATAGAGAATGAGAAGCTTGAGAAGAAGCTCGAGCCACTTGGGCTTACAATAAATGAGATCAAACCTGATGGTCACTGTCTCTATCGAGCTGTCGAGGACCAACTATCGCTCTCCCCAGGAAACAAATACAAATACCAAGATCTTAGAGAAATGGCAGCCAATTATATGAGAGAGAATGCATCCGATTTCCTCCCCTTCTTTCTCTCAGATAGTAAACTCGAGGTCAGTTCTGAGGATTCACCATTGGAGAGGTTTGAGAGGTATTGCAAAGAAGTCGAATCCACAGTCGCTTGGGGTGGGCAATTGGAACTTGGGGCTCTCACCCATTGCTTGAAGAAACACATTGTGATATATTCAGGGTCCTTTCCTGATGTTGAAATGGGAAAAGAATACAAATCAGAGGGTAGTGGCTCATGTAACCCTAGCATTATGTTGTCTTATCATAGGCATGCCTTCGGGCTTGGTGAGCACTATAATTCGGTGGTCCCTTGAGAGAATCGCAAAGTCAAAGTTTAATGGGAGGAGTTCTTTTGGTGGTTTTGGTTTGGACAAAAAGAAATGCAAAATCAATACTATTTATATTTGTAGACTGTTAGAATCCGCTGTAGTCATGTGGCAGTATGAATATATATCATCACAGTTTTGTTGTTCTCTAAGATTTACCATACAAATAATATCATATGGGGATTGTATACTACAAAACATCACAGTTTTGTTGTTGTCTCTTAGTTTTACTAGACAAATAATATCATAGGAGGATTGTATATTATAAAACTATTTATTTTTGGGAAAAGTTTATATAGAGCCGAGGCTCTAAACAATCAAATTTGAGCCTACTTAAAAAATTTCACTAGAAGATGGTGTTTGGATGCCCAAATATCCTCAAGTTGATCATTTCAACATTAAGATGCATGGATATGAAAAAAAAATAGATTTCAAGTTTTGAAAATAGTGTATTTTGTAACGTATTTTTAGACCATCAATTTTCAAGATTTTCAAGTTTTCATAGATCTAGTCGATCTACATTATTTTTGAAGCTTTAAATTTTATAATTAAAGATGACATAATATTTAAGGCTATCACAAAGATTTTCAGTATTGAAACCACATTTTTCAATATTATTTGAAGGTGCGTTTTACTTTGATTGCTTGGAGCATTGGCTCTATACTAACTTTACCTTTTATTTTTAGTACGGGGAAGTTACAATCAACTTTAATCATAATCATAAGATGTGAAATCTGACAGCTTAAAGTGTTATATAGTTCAAGAAATATTATTTTGATCTTTGTGCCTAGTCAAAAGCATATACCCTCCAGCCAAGATCGTGACTTAAAGTCGACCGACGCATAAGCTCGGGCCCTCCTCGATGGCGTTAGACGGTTTGACTGCTCTTGGGGCCTCCCTCTTATAGTAGAAGGGGATTTCCAAAATGTTTTCTCTTGGGCGTCATGCACTTCCAAACCATCGTGGTGACTCTGGCATATTTTGACGGAATTTATGATCTTTGCAGGCTTATACCAGTCTCATGGATTCATACTTGGAGGGAGGATTTATGATTTTTGCAGGCTTATAGCAATCTAATGGACTCAAACATCGAGGGAGGCCAATCGAGTCGCTGAAAATCTCGCAAAATTCGGAGCTGGTGCTGTTTTACATCGGGGCTGATCCTTTTAGTCATGAAGTGTTTGGGTTCTTGTTCTCTGTTGTTTTTCCTTTCTTAGCCTTGTAGAAGGGGTTCTTGCTCCTTGTTGATTTTCTTTTCTTAGCTTAGCCTTGTAGGAGGTTTCTTTTCCGTTTTCATGTGTCACCTTTCTTGGTGACCGTTTTGTTGTATCCCTCGGGGGTTTTTGTACTGTTCTACTCCATCCATACAATGTTGACAGTATCTTAAAAAAAAAAAAGAAAAAAAAAAAAAGAAAGGGAGAAAGATCATGACTTAAAACAAAGGTAAACACTATAGGTGAAGTTCTACCGTGCTTCACTTATGGTTTTATCTCTGTTCAAAGTTTATCACACGGTCACAGGTGTCTGATAGTGTTTTAAATTTTAATATTTTTTTATAAATCATAATGATCTAAAATTTTGTAGGCGTGTGTGTGCATGAATAAAATATAAAACAAATAATTTGAGTGATAAAAATTATATAAAATACCCCTATAAAGTTTCAGGAGTAATTTTATCATTTTATGTTATGACTTATTTTTTAAATATTTTATTTTGGTGCGACTTGGTCATATGTACACATGCCCTAAATTTTAGATAAATTTGATTAGTACAATAATTGTAAAAATTCAATTACTACAAGACAATTGTAACCGTGTGATGAACTTTGGACAGTGATGAAGTGTAGGTGAAATACTGTAGAACTTCACCTATAGACGTTTTGTTGATGCTTCATAAAGTAAATAGTATCATTGTATATATTTCATATACACATGTATAGCATGGGGAATGCATATACATGTATAGCATGGGGAATGCATTTTTTGTTCGTTTCAGTGGTTTTTTTGATATACGAGATTTGTAAGGATTAATTAAGATGGTTTGATGAAGCAAAAAGTTCATTTATTAATGGTCTGCTTTTGTTGTTGGTGCATGATAAGAAGAACAAAACGTTGAGGAAATAAACATTAAAACTTGAAATTTTGGTTTTTAATTTATTTATGATAAAACTAATAGAGAAATCTTTTACGACTCAATCTAGATCCAATGGGACCTAAGACATTCAATCTAAGACAGAGAGAGAGAGAGAGATTCGAATGGCCTTGAATTATACATTTTTAACATAACATAGGACTGGCGATTTTCAATAGGTATCGTAAGTGAGTGCCAACTGAAATTTAGGGTTTTATAATTCCCATTTAGAAATTGCACCCATATTCTCTTATTGGGAAAGTTTCTTTTGAAGTTTTTTAAACACTGATGAATTTCCAATTCTTACAAATTCAAGTCAAATTCTAAAGGGTGGTGTATCTTTCCTTTTGTAGTGAATCTAGATGCATCTATTATAATTATGGGAAAGTATATAATGAGACCATTTACCTTTGAATCATAGATCTTGATCATTGGCCCCTATTTGACGACCAGTCTGTGAATATTTGTAAAAGACCCCGAGACAAACACTTTGCAAAAATTTCGGCCAGAGATAATGGCAAATTGGAGAGATATGGTCCCTTCATATTTTACTGTTTCTAAAAACTACAGTGTCATAAATATATGCATCTTCTCACTAGAATTTATCCATTGAATTTGATCTTGATCGTTGATTGCCATATATAGATGCATTCTTTGGGAAGCTCTCTACAAACTTTTGGCTTGAATCGTTGCATAGATCACAAGATATTGCTCTCAGAGTGAGTGGAGGTAATGGGGAATGACATTCATTTATTGGAAACCCCTAATTTTTTGGCTTGATTTGTAACCTATCGATTTTTATATGGATGAAAAACTCATGTAGCAAGGGGTAACATATCAAATTTGGAGTCCATTTCGATAAAGGATATGACCCTTGAATTTTTGCAAAAAATTATGTTGCTTGTTGTAATCTCCATGAAGATGATGAATTATTTTTACAATATGGTTTGTTTTATTTTCTTTGTGGTCATCATATGGTGCTCCAAAGATATGCCAGAAAGGGCATTTCTCGACGTCGAATTTGGCTGAAATTTTTACCAATGGCTTTGACTAATTTTATCTAATAGAAATTTGGGGCTCACTGGTCACTGGGTTTTTGGGATCCTCTTTTAAAGTTTGGCCAATTTAGGTGAATCCTACTTATTGTTTGAAACATTCAGAAGCTATATCTCTTGTTGTATCCAATGAGACTTTTTACTTTTTGTACAGGAAGATCACAATTGCTTACAACCATCTTATATGAAATGTGTATCATAAAATTGGAAAAAATTTCTTTTGAACTTTGAGCATGGTCAATGAAATGAATGCAACCACTTGATTTGACATCCAACGGTCAAGATTAGTTGTGACTGGTTGTATAAAACGTATATGATCTCATTACATACTTTCCCTTTTAATTAGGGTTGGTTTTAATTACGATTGGTCTTGTGTTTTCCACTTTTTACTTGGGACATGCACCTTTGGCATAGTGAAATGAAAAAGAATAAAGTTGCGGTTACACCAAGATGTGAGTGGTTCTTGCATTGCTTTCTCATCCAGAAAATGAACGGGCACAAAGAAGATGAAAGGAGTGCACAATGTGACTGATAGAGGACCTAATGGATGGTGCCCATGGACCAAACCCGTCCACTCTTCTGGGCAAAATGTTTGGAAGGCAAAGCTTTGCAATGTCTCACTCACAATAGGAAATGGTTTGATAGAGCTGTAGCCCCACTAAACTAAATAAAGTCTCACCTCATAACTTATAAAAAATTGCATTTCAAGCATTAGAAAACCTTTACATCGATCATCTAGGCTTGAAAATTATGGTTGTGAAAAAAAATTAAACTTTCAAGCTCTAAAAATATTGTATATTGTAATAAATTATCTCGACCGTTCATTTGCCTTCAAAATAAGTGTTCATAGATCCACAAGGTTTGTACATTTTTTGAGTTTCAAATATTATTATCGATGTTGGAAATTGATTTTAGAGCCATCATAGAGATTTCCGTTGCCAAAGCGCTTTCCAGACGAGAATTTGAGGTGAAGCTTTATTTTGTTTTCACGAAGCCTAGGCCTTAAAGAAACTAATGCTTCTCAATACCCATTGCTTAAGTGTCCAGTAGTCTTGTAGTCTACAGTACTTAATTAGTAATTCACATTTAATGCCATGGACAAATTGGCTATGATGAAGGATAATTGTTTTATATGGCGAAGACCGTATTTCTACATTTACTGTCTTTGAGGTATACAACACCCATCTTAAAGATGAAAGCAAATAGGCAGTCCATTTTAAAACAATTGAAATTAATAGTCTAAATGTTTTTTTAATATAATTATTATATTTAATTTTCAAAATTTATTTATTTATTCATATTCATGATCTCCATGATAGAGATTACATGCCCCTAAAAATTAAGTTGAAAAATCCATCTATTTTTTAAGAGGTGACCCATTTCTACATGGACTTGTAGAGGTCACTCATCTCAAAAATCCATTTTAACATATCATAGTACTCGTACCCCAACCTTGTTTTACATTGTCCAAAATACCATGGTGTTTTCTTTTCGTCTTTCAATTGTTTAAGTAAGGAAATAAGTCCTTGTTTTTTTTTAGATTGAAATACCATAGGTTATGTTAGGGTGTTTGAAATATAGGTTATTTTATACTGTATTCATCAAATTTGAGACACTTATATACCATTTATTTTGTAATACAATATTATTTTAGTAATAGTATTTTTTATTATTAAAAAATGTGTAATATCATCCTTGTGGGATATGACATCACCCACATAAAGCACTTTAATGATCAAATGTGGATATGTTACACCCCTCTTAATGACAAAAAATACACTTACTAAAAAATATTTTATGTATAAAACAAGGGTATATTAATATCCAAAATTTGTTGAATACAATTATAAAATACTATATAGTGTGAGCACCCTATCCTAACCCTTCTTTACTTATTATTTTTTCATTTTGTTGTGGAAGGAAAATAAAAAAAATTGGATCCCAAGGGAGTTTTTGTTCAACCAAAAAGAGGTAAATTTACTTTTTTTTTTTTTTCTTCATATCCGTACATATCAATGTCAACATGATTGTTTCGAACATCAATACAGCCTTTTTCGATAGATTTTTGAGGCGCACCTTAATTCTATAATTTAAAGTCGCAACCTTATATAAATTTTTACCGATAGAGAGAAAGTAGCTACTTTCGACATATTCATATAGTGAATGTGAGAGGTGGAAGTCTATTAGGATAGAAAGAAGCCAAAATAAAAAATAAAAAATGCAGTGGATTCCCAGCAGATCATAGATTCTCTCGGGGACCCTACTTAATGACTATTTTTAGGACTTCATGTTTGATGATTTTTGGGGCTTCTTTGGCGACAACTTCCAAAATGAAGGAAAAAATAAAAAAAACATACACCTAATGTCTTAAAATTCAATAAAGACGAACCTAATGTCTTAAAATTCAATAAAGACATTCTGGCTATGGAAAAGTATCCTGAGTGAAAGGGTGAGATCTCATATCCAATGACCGAAAATTAGTCTCATATTTTATTTTTTATTTAAATAAGTTACTTATTGGAATTTTCGATGGTAGGTGTAAGATAAATATAAATAAATAAATAATAATTTAAAACTACTCTAAAAATTCAAATAAGTAACTTATTTAAATAAAAATAACCAAGGCATCCGTAGTTCTACATTATAAGGTAGCATCCTTATATAAACTTTTTCCTTTTAAAAATGTTATATATATGTCTTAAGAAACATTTCGTTTATGGGCTGCACATGTCGGCTAAGTGTTACTCATAAAAAAAAAAAAAAACAGAGCTAGTCAAGATCCATAACTAGCACTTTCGTTTTTTATAGGACGTGCTGAACTAAACGTTGTCATTGTGAATTGCAAGATAAACAAGACCTAGTGGAACAGTCTTGTAGTTTTTATAGTGTTTTATTCCTGTTATGGTGGAAGTATACTGTACATTTACTCCCTCATGCTAAAGAGGTGCTTGGAAGGAATATGATATTTTAGGACACACCTAAGAATCCCTCTATGATCATTTTCAAAAGGAATGTATTTTGGTGTTTTTTAAACGCCTAGATTTTCCCATCCAAAAACTTTTCTTTTTTTTCTAATGCTAATTCCCGGTTGAAGAGGTTAAAGTACCAAAATTTTCAGATCCCAAAAAATAGTCCTAGTTTGGGGTTGGGTTAGCGGTGGCAACAAGCTCAGCCTGGGTTGGGCCACCCCTAGCTTTATCCCAGCTCTAGTCCTTGTCGGGACCAGGCATGGCCCTATCAAAGATGGGTAGCGATAAAATTAATAAAAAAAATAATGGAAAAAAATAGAGAAAAAACAGCGAGGACCTATCATAACCCAAGTTCATGCCTAACCTGGTCTTACATTTGGGCCTTGACGGCCCGGCCTTGGCCGGCACTTAGGCCAGATTTTGTGGCCAAGGCCCTAGTTTTTTAGCGCCGGTCAGGGCCACCCAGCCCATTGCCACCTGGTTGGGTACAAATAGAAGAGATAGCCCTGCGGAAGCATAGAACCCTTTGACTTTCTTAATATGAGTTCCTTGTTTTCCCCCACTTGTATTTGGCCTAACAATACCAGACTTAGTCTCCATGTTATCTTTGAAACGGTATCCATTCATAAATGAAGCAATACAAAGAAATGTGTATTTTAATTGCGTCAGCCTTAAATAAACCCCCACAATTATAAAGAAAATGAAGGGTGAAGGCACAGAGCCGCCGGTCCTTATCTCAAATGCAGCACTTTGATTTTCTAAGTAACCTTGATGCAATAATTGGAGGAAGAAAAACCTACAAGAAATTGAGCTGTAAAGCTTTCTCCACTGACACATATAGAGACTTTTGGTATCCTACGAGCAAAGACAAACAATTTCCTTTCATTTGAACTGGTGATTTAAAAAATGCTGGGTCAATATGGAATTATCTGGTTTGGTTTAGGAATAGGTAACCCCATTCTACGTATATATAAAAAAACGGCGGAGTTCACATAAAAAATGATGGTTCTATACAGTAAAACAATAATTTTGGACCGTCGATTCACTGATTTGGACCGGTTTTTTGTCAGTTCACCATTTTGTCACGTGTTTTTTCTTCAGTTCATTGTTTTTTCAGCATATTAAATGGTGATCCAGACTGTTGAGTCACTGATCTGGATTGGTTTTTGAGATGCCCAATCTGAGTCACCAATCCATTTTTTTTTAAAAAATTGTTTCATATGGCATGGACCGCATTTATACATATGCGGTCCACGGGGTATAAATCATCCATCTTAAAGATGGATGCAAACCTGTGGTCCATCTACAAACAATTGGAACTAACGGTGTAAATGTTTTCTTAATAGAATTATTATTTTTAGTTTTTAAAATTTATTTATTTTTTCATATTCATGATCTCCATGTTAGGGATTACATGACCTTAAAAATTCGGTAAAAAAATCCATCTCAAAAATAGATTTTTAGGAGGCGACTCATTTCTACATGGACTCATAGAAACTGTGTCTTTTTTTAAATTACTGATTTTCACAATACTAAGAAAACCATGAAATCATGGAAATTAATCAATAAAATTCTAAGAGATAATTAAAAATATAAAGAGCAAATCTGACCTCAAACAAAGAAAAACAAAAAGGGTAAGTTCAAACGCAGAGTCTTCCATTAATAATGTACTTACTCAATTTTTTAATTATTTTCCCTGCCAAAGTTACGATAAAGAAAAGGAAAAATGGGGTAGTGGGTCAGCAATGATCTGCTGAGTGGACGGTGGGATGGATGAAGAAGATTCGACTTGGGTGAATCTGAGCCGTTGGATGATGAATGAGTTTGTGAGTTGGTGGTATATGTAAAGGGGTATATGAATGAGGTGAAGAAGTTGGGTTGCTTACTTTGAAAAGAGAGGAGATGGGTTGCTTATGATGATGATGATGAGAGTGTTATGCCATCACCATCTGATAAATCATAGAACGATGATGATACTGCTATCATTCATGGGAGCATGATGGGGTGCCTGAAATTCATCTCAGAAGTGTTATGGCTTTGAGCTGGGCAAAGAACACGTTTCTCTCTCCTAAACCTAAGGCTCTTTTGATTGAGAGCTCATCCCCTTCCATAACCAGTCTTGCATATGCAGAGTCCTTAACAATTCCATTGGTAGTTTCCTCTCTCTCTCTC